GGATCCAGAACGGATATCACCCACCCGACAGTTCACTGTTCGGTTGGTACGTAATCCACATGACTCATAGGGTGGATTATCGATTCTTGTGTTCTGCATTAAACTATTTATAGTTTAAGGGCCTGGTTAGAAATGTTGCCTTAGACTAGGAATAGCTAAGAGTTTGTTATAAAATGATTTGGCCTTAGATTAAGAATAATTTAAGAGCATGGTTGAGATATTGAATATCAAATGACTTGGAATAAAATATTGAGAATATCATGAATGTTTGAATCATATATTGTGTGCATGATATCAAATGGTTGATTATGAATTGAGATTCAATTTATTTGGATGTTTGACGCTTTAGATATGCTTACTCAGCTTCACCGCTGAGCGTGTAGTGTGTTTTATTTGCTACACGCAGGTAAATAGAAAGATTAATGTGATCCTGGCGGCAGATGGGGCGAGATTGTCAGGATGGATGTGACAAGTTTTGAAATGATTTATGATATGTCAATATTAAATTCACTTCCGCAATATTGTTAAATACTCCGTACTGCATATGTTATGAAAAATATTATTGAGATTAATAAAGTGTGTTTGAAAAGTTTTAAATTTTACGATTACCAAGTTAAATACTTTAGTTCGGAAGGGGCTGTAAACCTAGACGGATTAGGGTGTTACAGGTGGAGAATAGTACGGTGTATAACTTGGGTACAATTTGATTTAGACCATGTGTTATAGTGGGCTTGACAGGGCTAGGTGGAGTGCCACACAAGTGCCACATAGACCGTCTGCTTCTCATAAATCTTCCCATTTAACCCTTACTATTTGTCCCTAATAGATCTTCTCATTACCATTTTTAACATATCAAATACCACAACTACCCCCAGTTTATTTATTACACCTCACCCACTTCATGTAATACATTCTACCCATTTTCATTAAGGATATTTTGATTAATTTTCACTTCTTAACTCTGATTAACTACAAATAGTCAAAATGATAAGACCTTATTGGGGCGGAAGGAGTATGTGTTATGGGAAAAGGGTACATGACCAAAAAGTGATGAGGGAAAAATACGCATTATTTTCATTGGATGAGGACTTGAGGTTAGAAGTGGCAATCGGGTCAACCGGATCGGTTTCGGGTTGGATTTTTTCGGTTTGGATATCTTTCGGTTATATGTTATAATCGGTTCAGATCGGATCGGATCGGTTAGATTTCGGTTCAGATTTGATTCGGTTCTATACATTTTTCGGTCCGGTTCGGTTTCGAGTCGGTTCAGATACGGTTCGGTTATAAATCGGTTCGGATAGATTTCGCTTTGGATACTATTCGAGTCAGATATATTTCGATTTCGGGTCTAGTTCGGTTCAGATATATTTCGGTTTCGGATCAAATATATTTTGGATATATATTATTTTCTAATTAAAATTTAACTATCCCTGTTTCTTTTTATGTTTTATCACATTTATCAATCTATCATCAATTCAATATCTCATACTCCCTCCGTCCCCCTAAGATGTTCTCATTTTGACTTTTGGTGGTTTTTAAGGAGAGTTGAAAAAAGGTGAAAGTTTACCATAATACCTTTAATGAAAAATGGGTGGAGTGTATTAAATGAGGTGGGTGAGGTGTAATAAATAAAGTAAGTGGGGGTAGTTGTGGTATTTTAATTGTAAAAAAATGAAATGAGAAGATCTATCGTGGACAATGAAAAAGGGCTATTGAGAAGATCTATGAGGGACGGAGGGAGTATTATTTTATATTTGTTTCTAATTATATTATCTCTACCCTAAATAATTTTCCCTTTTTAGTCATATTTTACAAATTTGGACAACAAATTATGAAAACATATATATTTAATTATGATATAAATTTAATATAATTAAATTGATTTTAAAATTTAGTTTTGAAATATCACAATTTTCTCACATCTACTAATATATTTATGTTTATAAATGAAAAGATAAAAGATAAATTCAAATAGTGTTATGTTCCATTTGAATATAATTTGGTAAAAATTGGGTGAAATTGGGTGAAATTAAGTGAATTTTATTCAATTGAGTGCAAAATTTATAAATTATTGAGTGTATTTGGTTGAAAATTGATAAAATTAAATTTAATAGAGTCAAATACACTTAATTTTACACATAAATGTAATGGCGTAGATCAAATTTGAAAATGATAACACTAAATTCTGCCGCTAAAAAGTCTTTTCAAAATGCTAACACTAGCATCTAATTTTATTGACTAATATTGAGTGAATTGGTTTGAAACTAATCAAATTGACTATCAAATCAATAAAGTTTATTGTAATGAGATGAAATTAGGATAAAATCTAGTTATTCCATACAGTTTATCATATAATCATTTCGTCCCATAAAGAATATCATACTTCACTATTTAAAAATTACGGAAATTTTATTTGTTTGTGCGTTATCATTTATATGTATAACTTATCTTTAATTTCTACATATAATAAATTTAAGGCATGAAATTTTGTACTTTTTTCAAGAAGATAATCCATTTTATGAGGGGATGAGCAAGTAATGTAATTAGTTCAAATGGTAAAATAAAAGTAAAAATTTAAAAATATAATATGTTTATTGAAAGGCAAACATAGTTCCGAATTTATCGATTTTAGTTCTAATCGGGTCCGGATATTATCGATTTCGGATCTAATCGGTTTCGGATTTTATCGGTTTCGGGTATTATCGGTTTCGGATTTAATCGGTTCGGATATTATCGGTTTCGGATCTAATTGGTTTCGGATTTAAATCGAATATGAATTATTTAGTTTGGTTTCGGTTTGATTCGGATCATTTAGGGTTTTCGGTTATAGATCAGATCTTCATTTTTCGGGTCATTACGGTTTGGGTTTCAGATATTTTGGTTCGGGTAATCGGTTCCGGTTCTATTTTGCCAGGTCTAGTTGAGGTGAACATATGTTAAGTTTTGATTGGTTGAAAAAAATGTACTCCCTCCGTCCTAAAACCATTTTCCCACTTCCCTTTTTTCTCCGTCCTAAAACTACCTTCCTACTCCCAAAAAAAAGATGTATAATGACTATTATAGCCTTGCAATATTCACTCCCCATGCCTCAACCATCCTCTGTATCTCCTCTCTCAATCCACCTTCTCTCCATTTATTTCTCTTTACTCTCCAAAAGCAGTACCCTAGATATGTCTCCGCTCATCGGTGGATGTGCTATCTCCCCTCTCCCAGTTTACCCTTTCTCTCTTTGTCTATCTTCCCCCTCCCTATAAAACCGTAGATCTGTGTCCGACGGTGCTCGCCGGCGGCTGCTTAAGGCACGGCTCGCCGGAGCCAAGATTGTTGTGCTCGCCGGCGGCTTTGGTGTCTTCACACGACGGTGATAGAGACGTAATCCAGGGCTCAATGAAAACCTCAATTCTCCTATCTCTTCAATTCTTTCTTCATTCCAAAATGGTTTCCTTGTGCGTCATACCAACAATTGCGGCCGTCCTCTCTTCTGCTAGGCAAGTCCATCAATCTGACATATTTTCATATAATTTGTGTTTGAAGGACTCATACAAAATCCTTATTTTCGTAGCAGCGCCTCTCCTTCCAAGCTTGATGAAGGGGCATTATTGGAAGTCAAAGCCATATTTAACTCTCCCTTAAAAATGGACTTCGGTCAATCCGGGAAGATCGTTCTAGGACGGAGGGAGTATATAATTTGTATAAATAAGATGTAAGGTGTAAGGTATATTATTGGTATAAATACATTTTTCTTAAAGCTTACAAATTTTCATAACTATATTATTTTATCAAATGAATAAAGAAAATAGACAAAAAAAGTGAATGAAATTTGATCATATGAAAAATAAACAGACAAACGATTGAGCAATCTGCCAGTCGCCCATACATTACTTGAATATTCCATCAAGTAGTTTATTACACAAAAAAAAATGAAGAAGAAGACATACAAGTAGTTATTCAGTACTTACAAGGTTCTTATTCACAAAAGAAAACACTGAAATCAAATAGGGAATACATGTTTGTGTTCACTTCCATTCAACATTATAAAATGGCTAGAGTCGATACGACTGCACGAAAGCAATGCGATCATGCCGCTTTCCATGTGGACAAAGGTGGAGTGTCTGAATCCTTCCAGGTTCTCATACCCGGCGCATACCGATCACCATTGACTAATTCACCCGAACCAATCTTTTCAAGCTCGGCCATGTCTTCTGGTGTCAACTTCACGGCCAATGCACCGATGTTCTGGTTAAAGTTCTCAAGCTTAGTGGTGCCAGGAATGGGACACACATCGTTTCCCTGGTGGTGCACCCAAGCTAATGCTAGCTGCGAAGGAGTACACTCTTTCTTTGCAGCAATCTCAACAATCTTTTCATACAACTTCTTGTTCTGCTCCACATTTTCAGCTTGAAACCTCGGCAGACGCTGCAAAATTAAATGAATCTATTGAGTGACAACCCAAATGTACCATGTTTTTTTTGATAATGTCATTGAGTATTTAGTACATATTGATTGGATCAGCTTTCAGCGCTTCGAAAAGGCTATCTAATTGCAACGTTTAGCTTTAGCGTTTCCAAAGTTAATCCCCGCCATCAAAAAAAATTTCAAAACCCTAATTGAAAATGTGGTTCTCAAACAATGCCTTAATAATTGATAGAACATACTTTATGATAGGTCTGATCCAACAAGCCACTATTTTATAGACATGTTAAATCACCCTGGATCGGTCAAATATATATAAATACAAACAAACATATAAAGCTATGGATTGCTCATTTTTTCATGTTGACCTTTTAGATGAAACTCGAAGTCTAAATAATCTTGATATAATCAATAAGAAAAAGATTTTGTTAATAAAAGGTTATGGATTCATGGAGTGTTTTAAAGGAAAAAAAGGGCAAACCTTTCGGTAGTCTTCATTTGAGACATTCTCAATCAGCTTTGGACCAGATGATAAAAATCCCCTTCCCAAAGGACTGTAAGCAACAATTCCTATTCCAAGTTCTCTGAAAAATAATTAGGAAGAAGAGGAATATTAGAACTTAGAAACATGGATTTGTTTCTTACTTCATAGCACAAATTAAACATTGAAGGGTGTTAGAATATAAAACTTTTCATGTCCTACGAGCACAACTTGAGCTTTTGGTTGAGTTGGTTCCTTGACATGATATTGGAACCTTGTTGACCATGATGTCACAAGTTCGAATCTCACCACCACCCTTTCTTTAAAAAAAATAAGGTTTCACGTGCAAGGCTTGAAGCGACCACACCAACCACAAGCTTGAGCTTTTGGTTGAGTGGGTTCCTTAGCTTAACAAAGGGAGCTAAAGGCTAAATGAGTGTACGTACCTGCAAGTAGGAATTATGTCTTCCTCAACATCCCTTGACCACAAAGACCACTCCAACTGCACTGCTGTTATTGGATGAACGGCATGCGCTCTTCTGATCGTCGAAGCTGAAGCCTCAGATAGACCTATGTATTTTATTTTACCCTCTTCAACTAGCTTCTTAAGTTCTTCCATCTTCAACAAAAAAAGGACTCGAAAGGGTAAGGAGATTTTCAATAGCAAGCATATAAAAAAGAGATGAAGAAAAAAGAAAAAGACCACATTATCTCCCTGTGAAATGAAACTGAAGTGAAAAACAAACGTTAAACAGGAATACTGTTTTTTGACCCCACTTCAGGTTACTCCCTCCCATTCCTTTTTAACAGTCCATTTTAGTTTTTGGTCATTAAAAATGAATGAATGTTGACATAATTACGTCAAGGTTCATTCATTTTTTAGTGCATCAAAAAGCAAAATGCACAGATAGGAAGGAACGAAAAGGAGTACTATCATAGGCATATCACATTATCACTTGGTTGGCTGCCCTATTTATATAAGAAAATATGAGAAATTATGCAGACATGCATTGGAGTCTTGCACACTTTGGTTCTTTGTTGAACCCCAAGAGTTTTTACATAACACATGTGAGGGAGAAAGGGAAACAACCGTGACTTCGATGGGCAAACGTGTATCTATGCGATGTTGATAGTATAGGTCAATGCAATCCACATCAAGACGCTTCAAGCTAGCCTCGCATGCAGCCCGCACATAGGCTGGGTCTCCACGAATCTCACCCATTCCATCCTTAAAAATAATTCCAAACTTTGTTGCCAACTCCACCTTTTCTCTTACTCCACCCTTCAATGCCTTCAAAGACAACATTTCAAAAAAAGTTAGAAAATACAAAATACTAGGGGTATATCCTTAATAAAAAATATAAACATGGCATTCTCAGCATGCAACCAGTCTAATTAATTAGCAGGTAATTGAAATCTTCGGGCTTGTTTTCTCATAATATTTCAAGAACCTATAGCACAACAAAAGAACCTATAATATTTTAAGAAAATAAATTTTGAAATAAGATAAGCGCATATATTTAGTTTCTTAGGATTATACAAAAGCGGCTTCTCTTGCTTCCATTGTGGTGCTGCTCTGCTAAGGTGTAAATTGTGATACAGTGGTGGCAAAATTCAGCAAAAACATTAAGAAGAATGAGCAGAGTTGATGAAACAAGGCCACTTTCAAAGAAAAATTCTTTTTGATGTGACTACTCCAGACATTTGATACAGTGAAACCTCCCACAGAAAACCAAATTCAGTTCTGAACTAGGGGTAGTGTCTATCACCGATAAAGTAACTTAAGTAAGAGAAAGCAGACTGATGGTTTGGTTACATCTACCATAAAGACAACGGTACATGTGAGGACACAAGAGTTTTTTTGTTGAGAGGGCAGCAGGAGAGGCACGTCACAGAAGAGGTGGTATGAGCAGTTGAGATTGAATTTGGTGTTCTTAAATATCTCCGAGGACATGACGTATAATCACAGTTCTTTGCAACATTCTTTAAAGATTGCAGAGTCATTGTGTGGGTTGTGTTCACACTATTCTTTTCACTACTCGTTTACTCTACATTTTGATTATTTTTTGGGTCCTCTCGGAAATGATCTCTAGACGCCTTAGGGTATAGTTAAGTTTTGCGTACATCTTTCTCCACGGCCGTACTCTTGAGTGGGATATAGTCTTTGACTTGCTTGGTTTGGTTATTGTATACAGCATATTGTTTCTGACTCATTTCTTTCTAAAAATCAATGTAATGCACGACGAACCAGCAGCCGCCTTATGGACTTGCTTCCTGGCAGTTTTTGAACCACATCCCCAGCTTTCTGGGCCCCAATCCACCTACTCCCCCTACCCATTCTAAGCCCAAGTCCATCTAGCCCGAACCCCTTCGGTCAACCACTTTATCCATAATCCATATACCCAACCCAGCTCATTTACACAATCCCCCAGTTTACCTAATCTAACCCAATCCCTACCAAAACGTGTACCAGCGCTCCCCCCCAACCCAACGGCCCTCGCCCACACCCTTGACACTATGAGCCTATGTGATCCCTCTTGGTTCATGGACACCGGAGCTTCACATCACATTACTTCTGACAGGTACTTTATTTCATATTTTTAATCTTGGTATTTTTTTCACCTAGTCACATCCGCATATCACTATTGGAAATGGATCTAAGGTTAGCAACCTATTTTTATGTGACTACTCCATACAATTATACAATGAAAACTCTCATAGAAAACAAATTTCTAATATAAACTAGGGGTAGTGTCTATTACTGACAAAGTAACTAAAGTAAGAGAAGCAGACTTGTGGTTTGGTTACATCTAACCATAAAGACAATGCTACGTGCAAGGAGAGTCAAGAGTTTTTTGCTTGAGAGGGCAGCAGGAGAGGCACGTCACACAAGAAGGTGGTATCCGACTGGTATGCATGGTTGAGATTGAATTCGGTGGTCTTAAATATCTCTGAGGACATGACCTATTTTTCACAGTTCTTCGCGACATTGTTTAAAGATTGTAGTGTCATTCTACAAGTTGCGTTCACGCTATTGTTTTCACTACTTGCCAACTCTACATTTTGACTATTTGTTGGGTCCTCACGGAAACAATCTCTTTACTCCTTAGGGTATAATTAAGGCTTGTGTACATCTTTCTCAACGGTCGTACTCTTGAGTGGGAAATAGTCAATTTGCTTGGTTTGGTTATTTTATACAGCATGTTACTTCTTACTCATTTCCCTCGAAAAATCTATGTAATTACATTAAATCACTTAAAAAAATATCCTCTTTTGTATACAAATTGGCCAAATATCCTTTTTTGCAAAATACTCTGTATAGTCGTATAAACTTCTTGAACTAAGTAGCATATTTCATCCAATTAAATTTTATTTATTTTTTGGACAAAAATATCATGAAAACTTAGAGAAATACTACGGAATAGCTTTCAACCATAACTACATTTGTTCATCAAGATAAAGAGATTTTTTACTGCAAACAAAATACAAAAAGGAAAGGAACTCACCAATAATCAAACAGAGTCCAACCTGAAATACAAACCTTCATTTTATGCTCCGTATTAAATAATGGAAATGGAAAATATTTACCTAACGACATAGTCCCGCAGAGAGTTGGATTTATACCTTGCCAAGCAGAATCTCGTTGGTGTGTGGGCCATACATGTCGGCGGTGTCGAGGAAGGTGACGCCGGAGTTGACGGCGTGGTGGATGAGGCCGATCATGTCGGGTTCGGGCTTGGGTGGGCCGTAGAAGGCGGACATTGACATGCAGCCCAGGCCCTGTGCCGACACTTCCAGGCCCTGCGAGCCCAGCTTGATTCTCGGGACCTTCACCCCGCCTTGTCCTTCTGCCGCCGCCGCAGCCATGGATTCTCAGAGCAAGAAACAACGTTTTGACTCTCTGATGTCTCAACTTACGGCGCGGTTCGGTGTTTCAGTGGCCATTTCAGTGTTCCAAATTAGACAATTCCCCCCCTAACCCCCAATAAAGCCCAGCCAAGACCTCAAATCATCGCCTACCTACGTCAATTGTACCCCGTAAGTATAATTGATTTTAAAATAAAAAATTTTGACTCCAAAGTCAATTAAACTTGCACTCCGCAATTGACGTGGTTAGGGGGATGAGTTGGGATCGGGACCGGGTAGGGGGTTTACCAGGGGGTTAGAGAGGGTATGAACTATCAATTTTGCGAACAGAGTACCGTAAGTGTCCTAATTAGGTGAGTCACTTCCGTAGCCACTCTTTTTGAGTGGCTCTAGAACCTAGCCGCTCAACTTATCCTTTTACCTTTCTAACGATGCGGTGTAGTTAAAGGGAGCAGGAGCACTACTAAACACATTTCTCTAATTCACTCTCCTTATCACACATTTCTTATCTATTTTCTAATCGGAAGTTGTACAATGGAGAGAGTATCACACATTTCTTATCTACTTTCTAATCCGAAGATTGTACATTGGAGAGAGTATCACACATTTCGTATCTACTTTCTGATTCGAAGATTGTACTGGGGAGAGAGTATGGTGTATATTTGGAAAAGTATACCTCTAACATTTTTCATAGAATTAACTTAGTTTGGAAATTATTTCTTAATTTTTTTAGGCTGAATACATTTTTTCTCATTTCCTTATTTCGTAAATTATTTTAAACGGGGTATGAAATATCAAATTTATCATTGTCATTAGTTTTTCCATCCCATCCGCTAGTGGCATCACGATTCACGAGTCAGGACGAGATGAATTTTTAGTCCTCTCTGGCTCAACCCGAAACACAATGGCTGATGTAGTATGTAGGAGTCTACTAAATTTTTGTAACAAGGTAAAAATATTTTTTAAAAAATAAACTTTATGTATATGTGCTCCCAACAAAAATTAATGTGACCCCGTCTAATTAGGTTAGTTTCAACTTTTTTTTAATTTTTTTAGTAAAATATATTTTATTGCAAAAATTAATTTTTTATGAAAAAAAATCACATTGCCTATTAAAAATGTTTTACATTCAATAAATGTTTAAAATAAAATTCAATATTTTTTGTTTATTTCATAAAGCCTTGTTAAAAAATCTATATGCATGGTTCTATATTATATTGCAGACCATATTAAATTATACTCCCTCCGTCCCTGAAAACTCTTCATGTTTTGACTTTTTTGTCAAACAATGACACTCTTTGACCACAAATTAAGCACAATCTAAAGAATAAAATGTTATAAAAGTTTGATATATCAAAACTATACTCTAAGATGAACCCAATTATATTAAATTTATACTCCGTATTATAATTTAATATATTTTTCTTACAATTTGTAGTCAAAGAGTATCACTGTTTGACCAAAAAGAGTCAAAACAAGAAGAGTTTTCGGAGACGGAGGGAGTATAAATCATATACCAACAGGGCCTTAAAATGCAATTTAGAGATTCCATATTGATAAAAGAAATTAGTTATCCCCCTACCTACCACTTAATGCTTGGAGTTGAGTACATAGATTACCATAACTGCTGTGTTTTTTTAAAATAAACTCCAACTCCAGCAAGACTGTTACCTTTTACTTTGTAATAATGTGATCCACCCATGCACAATGCCTCCTTTCATTCAAGATCAAAACATGAGAAATAAAACTAACATGTAATTAAACATGAAGCATCACTTCACTACTAGTAGTACATCTTATTCATTGTTTTACTTTATTCTTGGTACATCTATGCTTCACAACAACCCATTGTGTGTCCCAATGAGACACGCCTCTATATCGGATTGTACGTAGGTTTCCATGTTGACAAAGGCGGAGTATCGGAATCTTCCCAAGTTGAAACACCAGGGGACTGCCTCTCGCCTTTCACTGCAGAAGCAATGGACTCGAGCTCGATCATGTCCTCTTCGGACAGAGAGACAGACAAAGCCCCAATGTTTTGGTCAAGGTTTTCGATCTTAGTGGTGCCGGGAATGGGACAGACATCATTCCCCTGGTGATGCAGCCAGGCTAATGCCAGTTGTGATGGGGTGCATCCCTTCGTTACTGCCATTTCGTGGATTCTCTCGTACAAGTTGTTGTTGTGCTCCGCATTCTCTGCTTGGAACCTTGGGTTATCCTGCGAATTTATACTCCGTGCATTTAAAGAAAGATATCTAAATATTGAATAGCCTAGTCATGCGCCATGATACGGGTGTTGATTTACATAAACCAAATCCCCAGATTGATCGAAATTTTGGAATACCATGGCTACGTTGGGAAAAACAAGCTTAGGGGAATGGGAAATGGAGATGTGCCTACAATCTAAAAGCTAAAAAGAAGGGTAAGCCATGTCATTTTACCCAATTCAAGATGGTATAATGTGAATAAAAGATGAAAAGGTTGCTGAAACATCTTTTCTCACTTAAAGTAACTTATTAAGTTTCACTTAAAGTAACTTATTAAATAGTCAAGTGTAAATGTGTAAGAAACCTTTCTCCGATCTCCTTCAGAAAAATTCTCGACCAGTTTGCGACCCGAGGATAAAAACCCTCGTCCCAAGGGGCTATATGCAACGATTCCAATTCCTAGTTCCCTGTATCATTTGCAAGGAAATTAAGAGTTAGTACAACTTACAACACTAATGCAGCTATTTTGGGACTATCATGACATGAATCTTGGGAGATAGTATAGAGGGTAGTGAACCTGCAAGTAGGAATTATTTCCTTCTCCGAATCTCTTGTCCACAACGACCACTCCAACTGAACTGCTGTTATTGGATGGACAGCATGCGCTCTTCTGATTGTCGAGGCCGAGGCCTCGGACAGACCCACATACTTTATTTTCCCTTCTTCAACTAGCTTTTTGAGCTCTCCCATCTTGCAGAAACATAAGCAAATTAAGGAATCAACTCAATCAAAAGCTCAAACTTGTGGTTATAGGCCTAAAAAAGTTCTTTATACTCTAACAAGCCCCTTCATGCAACTCGTACCTCTTGGTCAAAAAGGCTTTGATACGATGTCAAAGAACCAACTCAACTAAAGTTTTCATATTCAAACACAAATTAAGATCTCAGAGAGCAATTTCACACTAAAGGAATCAATAATATGAGATCAAGAAAAAGAGCATATTGAGGAGCCAAACCAACACTGCTCCTAAAAGGCTAATTAAAGAGTTGACAATTTCATACGCTGACTTCAATGGGGAGCCGGGTATCAATGCGGTGCTGGTAGTAGAGGTCAATGCAGTCGATGCCAAGCCGCTTCAAGCTCGCCTCACATGCAGCTCGTACATAGGAAGGATCCCCGCATATCTCATGCTTCCCATCAACAAGCCTAATCCCAAACTTTGTTGCCAGCTCTACCTTGTCTCTCATCCCACCTCCCAAAGCCTATCAAAACACAGAATACCCAGAGATTCCATCCATAAGGTTTCCAAGATACAATTTCAAGGGAAATGTATAATAACCTTGTTTGGCATTGTAATTCATTATTTGTTATGTGATTACGGAGTTGTATAATTTAAAAGTTCATTGGATTGGTGTTTGACAAGTAAAGACTTACTACATCTTAAAAACAGTTAATGTTTAGGCAATTAAGCATTTACTGATTACTACGGTGTAGTAAAACCTCAATCACCAATCGCATAAATCCTCAAATTTGGTCATTATGTGCTCGTTTGGCAACAACTTCAGTTTATTTGCATGTAGCTTTAGCATTTTCATAAAAAGAAAGACAAAAACATAGTTAACCACTGATTGCCAAACAAGCCTATAATAAATTTATTAATCCCAATCTCAAACACGCTCAAACTGGATCAAACATGGAAAACAAATCCAATTCTCTATCTTCCCAATTGGTACTAACAATTACTGTCTCTACTAAGTGAAATTTGCACTAAATAGTACTAAAACATACTTCGTATGTCTTTTCGTAATATAGTACTTAAACTTTTTTATTCCCTAAATAGTACTTGAATAATGTCTAGTGGCGGGAACAATTTTCAGTAATGTTGGACATTTAGGCCCCGTTTGGCATCAGCGCCAGAGATTAGCATTAGCGTTTTGAAAAAACTATCCGACGGTAGCCTTTAGCGTTAGCGTTTTCAGAATTAATCTGCACCATTAAAATTTTATCCAAAACGCTAACGCTAATCGAAAACTCTGTTACCAAACAAAGCCTTAGTTTGAACAATATGTAGTGGCGGCTGACATTTACTTAATAATGAACAAATATTGAACAGTGGTACTACATTGAAAAATAAAAACATATGGAATTGAAAAAGTTAATATGTTTTAGTACTATTTAGATAAATTCCCCATCTACTAATTAGGTAAAGCGAAGGTTCCATCACATCAAATATATATTTCCAGAAACCTGGAAATGAAAGGTAAAGCGAAGATCGATAAACAGGGGAAGTTATTAAAAAACAAGACCTTTCCAAGGAGAATTTCATTGGTGTGGGGGCCGTAAATGTCGGAGGTGTCGAGGAAGGTGACGCCAGAGTCGACTGCGCGGCGGATTAGGTGAATCATGTCGGGTTCGGGCTTGGGTGGGCCATAGAAGGCGGACATGCCCATACAGCCCAGGCCCTGGGCCGACACTTGAAGGCCTTGCGAGCCCAGCTTCATCCTCGGGACCGTTTTCGCCATTGACGCCTGCCAAGCTTTTTTAGACCGTTTAGCTTCGGTTTCTGGGTTTCCCGGCGGGTGCTGTTTGCTTATATATGATCGTCTGGCTTGTGTGAGTGATGTAAGCAGTGACATAGAGGCACTAAGTAAAAAACAAAAAGTAAACGGTAAAGCTATTCCTACCCTAAGAGTTTATATCCCATTTCCTACCGTTCAAGAATGCATTCACATTTTGTGTTGTTGTAATGATAATTTTTTTAATGTACCAATACTTTATCTCGGTATAAATTTTTGTTAACGCACTCACACTATATGTCAATGTAAACCATCAAAATATTGGTGCATACCTTTGGTGTAAAAATGAGATACAAATTTTGGAGTACACATAGCACGCTCCAAAAGTAAATTATATTAATCCTCTTTTAAACTCGGTTGTGTTGTGATACCAATTACTCCCTCCGTCCCCCAGTTTTTGTCCACTTTTGACTTTTTAAACTGTTCATTTAAGTACTTTGACTCATCAAATTCTCTCAATGTGTAAGCCTAAATATAGTCATGTGTGATCTTGTTTGATTTGTCTTAACATATAGATTATTAATATATAATTTCTATAATTTTTTAATATACACATTACAAGATAAAATGGATTAAAGAAGTGCATTGGATGGCGTGTGATGGTGTAAATTACTTGACCGGTCAAACTATACTAGACCGGGTCTAGAATAGTTTGTTCGATTTGGCAAAGTAAAAAAAAGATAAAAACACGCAGATTGACCGGTAGGACTTTGGGTGGAACACCTGTAGCCCAATTTATATTATAACGGAGAATGCACGGGTGCTTTTACAAGGGAGTTTAGAGAGAATGAATTCGGATCCCTACTTCTGAGAGTTACAGCCGTATTTATACTAGGTTTGGGGGGGACAGGACCACGTGCGCCCACGTGGAGGCACGTGTCTCGGATGTTGAGAGGTGATGGGCCTCGTCTCTTAGATACCTTGTCACCTTGTGAGGGGAATTATTCCCTTTGTCAGGTAGTGCCTTGGATGGATTCCTCAAGCATCTCCAGCAATCCTTCACTGACACGGGTCGCTACTGTCCAAACCCTTTTAGATTCCATTTTGCCGACGCTTTCTAACCTCAGAAACTACATCGGGTAATTTCTGAGGGATGAGTTTATCGTACTTAGGGAATGAATGGAGTGATAAGTAGTTTGACCGGTATACTTTTTCCCGAAATACACCGGTCAAATTCGGACCGATCAAATACCCACTTGCTGACGATTAAAGTCTCCCTTTCCAGAATTTTCAAGATTGACCGGTCAACTATTTGGTCTTCTCCTTTGACCGGTCATGGGTGGAATACACCCATCAACAAGGATGAACGGAACCATGTAATAGTTTGACCGGTATACTTTTCTAAAGTATACCGGTCATCTTTTGACCGATTTGAGTGTCCTCCGGCTGATGATTAAAGTCCCTCTCCTTAACTTTCAAGATTGACCGGTCAACTATCTGGTCTCTTCTTTTGACCGGTCATGAGTGGAATACACCCATCAATAAGCCCTCCACTTCTCGGTCATGCAATTTCTCATGAGCGGGAAGTAAAAAATCTGAAAACAGGACCTCAAATTTGAATTTCAGGCTTTTTCCCGCCCGAAAATCTCAAAATTTGAATTTGAACTCGGAGCTTTGACACGTGTTGGACACACGTCGCTGCAATGGTCGGCAGCCCACCCGTCGTTTTGCCTGCCAGTGGGTCATCATTGCGCCGCCTAACGCGGCGCAACCTGGAGAGGCCACGTCGTCTGATTCGGCTTCCTCCCTCCTATATAAAGGCCTCCAACCCCCTTCACTTCTCACTTTTCGCACTTCGCTTTCTAGAGCTTTCACCGGTCAAATTCCTCTCTCGCTATCCAGCCCTCCGAGCCAAGTAAGTTTTCCCTTCCTTCTCTACTTTCCCGGTCATGTCTTCTCTTAGCGATAGGATCTCTTCCTCAGAGGACTGCTCCTCTGAGGACTCCAACTCCTCTTCTTCGACCGGGTCTTCTTCTCTTGACTCCACGCCCGGTCAGGTTCCCAACTCCTCTATTCCCGACCCGCATCCTGTTAACCAGATACCCGGTGAAACTTTCGTGGGGAGGGATGACCCGGTTGATGACGAACCGGGTCCCTATGACCCTGAACACGAAACCCGGAATGCGTGGGAGGAGCGGCTTCATGCTGCCGGTTACTTTCCGCTCCCCACCTTCTACGTCCTTGACATCCCTTCCCGTGTATCCAAAATCGTCTTGAACAAAATTCGTAGGAGGCTCCCGGATGGGTATACCCTCCTGTATGAGCCCAACTGGCCCAACATTGTCGAACCCCACCGGGAGGACAGGATAGGGTTCCACACCATATCCCAGGATGCGGGCATAGTTTTTCCCCTTCGCCCCCTCCTAACCGAAGTATGCCACGCGTTTAGGATTTTGCCCGGTCAAATAACACCTAACGCCCACTGGTATTTCCATTCCTTTGTAAATATCTGTACTCATTTGAAAATCTTCCCCTCTTTGCGTCTTTTTCTCTTTTGCTTCGAAGTCCTACCAGGCGGGACTGGCTGCGAAGGTTTTGTATTTTTCAAAGCCCGCACCGGTAAGAAGTTCATTTCCGAAGTCCCCCAGAGTAACCGGGGATGGAAGGAAAAATTTGTTTTCATCGAATTTCCCCCCTTTGTCACTCCTTTGGCCGGTCTGAACTGGAACGACCATCTGCTCGACCAAGAGTACACTGCACCGGCTTCCTCCCCAGACTTGGAAGCGAATCTTGAGGTCCTCATGCGCGGGGATCCTTTCACTGGGAGGATCTTCCATTATGGCAGCTGGGTTTGGAGGGTGGAGTCGGGTGGTGAGGGTACCTCCCAGGCCCATGAAGCAGCGGGGCGCGGGGTATCCTCCCCGGGCAACACTGCAGAGGCTGAGGGCCAGAACCACCCAGGTACTTTTTACTTTTCTTGTGATTTGCGCTTTGACCGGTACCATTGCTTGTACTTAACAGTTTTAGCTATTTTTGCAGATATGGAGTTCGAAGAGTTCGCCATCCCCGACGACCAACCAGCAGGGGAGACTGGGGGCTCCCAAGCCAACACTGCCAGGACCTTCCCGGTCAATCCAGAGACCGTGGAAATCCTTGATGAAGACGAGCCCCAAGACAACCGGTCTAAGGGAAGGAGAAGGAGAAGACCGGTCGGCGAACGAAGAAGGTCGCCACCACGCACCCTTCTTATGCTAAGAAGAGGGCAAGGCCGGATTCTGAGCCGGCCGGTCAGACCATCGAAGAGGCCTTCATCAACCTGGGGCTGAGGCTGAAGGAGGTAAGTCCTGCCGCTATCCCGGTCTTTATTTTCTTCCTCTATCGAGGAACTTACCGGTCTGTTTCGTTTTTGTGCAGGCGGGGGAGATTGGGCCGCACACAGTGGACCGGTTGGGGATGAGTTCCCCTTCTGAAGTCGACCGGCTGAAGAAGGAGAAAGAAGAGATGACACTCATCCTGAGGAGCCAGGCTGATGAGCTGATCCGGCTGTCTGGGCTTGCCGGGGCAATGAAGACCGAGATCTCCCAACTGAAGGAGGAGAATGGCCGGCTCCTGGACGAAGTCTCTGAAGCCAAGAGGGAAGTAGCGGAGAAGGAAGAAACCTTCCCCGGGCGCGCAGCTGCCTGGGTGGAAGAGAATAAGGCCGAAGCCGCCCGGGTGATGACGGCGAGCCCAGAAGCGACCGTGGAATCCTTCAGGCTTTTGTACCGGGAGCCTGAAGGAAAGAAGATGATAACCGCGATTGGGTCCTTCGGATTCAAAAGCGGCCAAAAGAAAGACCGGGCAGCCTCCCACCGGATCCTCCTGAAGAGAGACCCGGCCTTCACCGCAGCTTCCTATGGCCTGGCTCCCATCCCGGAGGAAGAGCCAACTCCCCCTTTCCCCCTAGATTAGGATCTCCCTGGCTGCGCCCGGTTGTTTTTTGTAAAACTTGAAACCTTATCAATTTCCCCGGGTATGCCCGGCGTACTTGTAAACATTTGACATTTCCAAATTTAAATGCCATGTTTAATTTCCTTACTGGTGAATCTTCCATATCTGCCTGCTTGTTGATTTATACTTTGCTCTTGCTTCTTATAAATTCTGACTGGTAGCCCAATCAGACCACTTCTCAATTGTTTCTGACCGGGAGAACTTCAAAGTTCTCTTTGATCACTTTATGTGAAGGATTAGCTCGAGTAACTTTGACCGGTTAAACTTCAATTTTTGCTTTTCGAACTTCTTCATCATGGTGGCCAACTTAAAAAATTTTACCGGCCAAACTTTACTTTGGCCTTTTGGATAGCTTCACCAATTCTTTGATAAAGTTTAATTTTACCGGTTAATTCCCACTCCATGGTTTGACTGGTCAACTGCCTTGCCTTCCGATGGGTGTAGAACTTTTGAAGTTCTGCTGTGCCCATACCCAACCGGGGTATTCTTTTTTTTTTACTTGACCGGTAGGTTGTAGATGGAAACACCTGTAACCTAGTAATTCTTGAAGTATCCTTAACCGGTAAGAATACTGGAGATTTAACCATGTCGAATGGTTTCGAACCCTCTCCAAGGTTCAAATGCACCCTTCTTCCAGGGCCCCCTCTTCCGGGTGATTAAGTCTTTTGATGGCCCTTTGATTTCTACCATCCCGGGAAGGCCTTAGCTCACCCTCCCGTTCAAGTCTTCCCTGAGAAGGGGGAAACGGGATGCGCCACGGTGGACGATCCCCTTCTATTTCTTTTAATGGGCATCTTTTAGTCCCCAATCAATTTGACGGCGCCGGCTGAATCCCCAACACCAGTCAAACCTCATGGGCTCGTGTAAGTACGGTTCGAACCTTCTTCCATGTCCAGCCCTCTTGCAGGCATACCCTCTTCCGGGCCCCTCTTCCGGGTTTTAATATTTTTTCTATTATACTGAGCAAGACCGGTGTAGTAACCAGCGTGCCAGGTCCGGGCCTGTGTCTCAGTTGGCTTATCCAAGTGGATTCGATCCACCCAGGAAGCCCTCCTAGGATAGGTTCGACCTATCAATTCTGCCGCTACCAAGTAGAGTATTGAACATCACTTTGATTGATAATGTGGTAAGGCCTCGCCTATATTACAATCATTTGTAGAACTTGCGAAGATGGTGGGAATTCAAAGTTCTTTCTACCGGTACACCATCTAAAGTTTCTAATCGATACGTTCCTGGTCGAATGATGGCTCTAACCCTGTATGGGCCTTCCCAGTTTTTTGCCAGCTTTCCTCCATCGCCGGGTCTGTAACACCCTAATCTGTCCAGGTCTGCAGCCCCTTTCAGATTAAAGTATTAACTTGGTAATCGTAAAAATTTAAAACATTTCAAACACTTTTATTTATCACAATAATATTTTTCATAATATAAATAGTACGGAGTTTTTCATATTGCGGAAGCTTAACAATCATAATCACAAACATAATTTATTTATGTTCTTTAATTCAAAACCATCACATCCATTCCGACAATCTCGCCTCCGTCTGCCTCCAGGATCACGTCACTTCATTAACCTGCGTGTAACAAATAAAACATACTACACGCTCAGCGTTGAGACTGAGTAAGCATATCTAATGCATCGAACATCCATATAAACTGAATCTAAATTCATAATCAAATCATTTGATATCATGCACATAATGTTCAGTTCAGATAATCAATAATTATTAAAAATTATTCATCATGCATTTTTCAACATTTATATTCACATTCAATGTCCATCAGTCATTCATAATAATTGCAATATTCAATTCAATATTCATCATTCAATATTTACTCATATTCAATATTCAATATTCAACATTCAACAATATCCTTAAACTATTCTTAGTCTAAGGCCAATCACTTTAATATTTGTCAACCCTTAAACGAATTGTAGTTTAAATAATTAAACCATATTCCAGTATAAAATATTCCTAAATAATCCTTAAGCTAGGCCTAGTTTAAGATAAAAGGGTTTTGAAAATCTTAAACTTACCTTCACTTAAGGCCAACCAAAAACCGACAGCGTAGTGTTCACTGTTGGGTGGGTGGTACCCCCAAACGAGTAGGTACTCAAGTTTGGTTCCTGGATCCCGTACGTACGTTTTAACCCTAGCCACCGGGGTTCATACCCGCAAGGCCTAACTTAAATAGGTATATCTTAGAGGTCTTCTAGATACCTTTCAAATCAACATTAATATGGGTATATCTTAGAG